ACCTATCCATCCTTTCATTTAACATTATCGGTAGTCAAGTCAAGTTTATTTAAGTTTAACAAGCCATTAGCCATACACTATAAAAACATAATTTAGGAATTAAAAATCACAGTATAGCAGAAGTTTGCCACATCCACAGTAGTGCTTTTACAGAGGCTACTCAAGAGTAATCTTAATCTTGGGATATCAGGAATGGCCAAGTATGTTAATAGCCATTTAAAAAAAAAAAATTCTCTGTCTATTTCATACTTTGAGCAGTAAAAAAAGGTATGGGACAACGAATCAACAGTCACAGAAACATTGATCTGTAAGTATCTTGAGGAAACAGCCCTTCATCTGGGTTGTTGGCAGCGCATTACAATGTGCAATCACATGTGACCGCCTCAGTTTTGGAATTGCCAGTATGTTGAGATAATGAGGCGGATCAAAAGGCAGCTTTAATGCTGCCCGATGTTTTAACATTTGTACAGTGGACGTTAGCTATGGTTAAGGTTAAATCTGCACCTGTATTTTCACTAACCATGGTTGGCTCCAACCCATATTTTGCAACCATATTTAGAAGTGGGTTTACCCCTGTGAGTTAGCTCAGATTCCAGCCCAGGACTAAAGCCAACACCATTTTTAGTTTCATGATTCACTTAACAAGAGGAGAGGAGGGAGCAGGAGACCAACTGCTCAAGGATCCTAAAATTGTTCTCAGATGTTTAAGAAGGCCACTCTCCGTACCACTCGGCCAGTGTTTGCATAGGCACCCATCAGAAAGACACAAACTTCAGTGGTAAATTTTTGTATTCTTTCAGATCCCTCATTTTGAATGGAATTCCATGGAACTCTCGTCAAAGGATGCATGGATCGAGTATTTAAAAAAGAAAATATTTGAGGAAGTTTGATGTCATGCTGACGAGACGCAAAATCATGGCTCTATTTTACACGGACTACACAAAATCGCGAAGCTATTTTATATAGACTTTTATTATGGAACAATAAATCTTTGCAACCCTGTGCCAGTTTTGTTGAAATATCTTTGTGTAACTGAGAACCTAGTTCATACGGCCTGAAAGCATTCAAGGGCTTTCGAAGTACACAAGCCTGCCTAGGCATCTGCTGCCCATTTGCCTTCTGTATTGCAATACGCATCTGAGTCCTCTTCAAGATTGCTGGACGTGTCTTCTGCGGAGTAGGGGAATGCTTATCTCCATCCAGCATCTCTAGTTGTGCATTACCGGAGCTATTCTGCTGGTCTTGTTTCTGGATTATCTCACAGGAGTCTGGGCACAGAAATAGAAAAGGGGTGGTGATGGGCTGCAAGGTTTGTTTGTTTTTTTGAAAAAGAGGTGCCAGGAATTAAGCTTTCAATCTGTGTACTGAAAACTCATGAAATGTTGAACATTTTAAAAAGAATTTTGTCAAAGAGGCTCTGGAACTCTCTTCCGGTGCATTCCCCCAGAAAAAAAGCCCTGCCAGTACTGCTGCAGAAAGAAAAAGGCACTATGGGGTGCAGAGAAAAAAAGGGAGTGAGAAGAACGGCAGACTCAGAAAGAGACGTAGTGATGTAGAAAGGAGAGTGCTGCAAACAAGCATGTTGCAGAATAGCTTTAAAAAACATCTCAAGTTAAAACTGCATCAAGTACTTTTCTTCAGTTAACCTAGAAGTGTTCTTTGCCATTGAGTTGTGTGTCCCTGGTGTAGAGTGAGGAAGGTGATGTGGACTGTTAAAGGGAAATGCAGTTGTAGTAAAAATAGAAAACCAAAAAACAGACTTGTAGTAATATTCTTGGGTAGAGAGAATGGAAGTCCAAGACTCAGTCACAGCAGGGCATTTAGGAGCCTTTTTGTGTAGTTCCCCTTTTACACTTAAAGGAGATAAAGCACCAAAGCAGAAAACAGACTCCTTAAGAACTGTCTTCCTTCGCTAATTGGTTTAAGGTATGGTAGGATCAGCCAGGATATTAAAAGCAGAGCACAGAAGTGTCTCAGACATCACAACCTTTTCTTCCAAGTGTGACACTCTTTGCTGGCCGGCTGCTGCTAGCACTATTGAAAGCACCAAAAAGAGAGGTTGCTAAGCAGGGCATTCTGAGTGACAACCACAGGTTGCTTGACCTTTGTAGAGGGGGCAAACTATTTCCTCAAATACTAGGCATTTATTTCTTGGTGTTCCATTTTGATTTCTAATGCTGGCAGGTTGCTGACAGCTGCAGAATTTCAGACTGGCTCCCCCTCTCAGTGCTCAGCAAATGGTATCACTTTAATTGCAAGTGTCTATTCTAAAGCAGTCCTAGAAAGCTAAAATTCCAGTGGTTGTACACTAAGAAGCGTACAAGACAATGAAGGAATCTGGAAATCAGCAACAACAGGCCCTGAGGAGACATTCGAGAGACTGGCAAAATAGTGCAACATTCCATCCATTCTTTGTTACTTTACCGAGTTAGGAAATAATTTGGTTAACATGTATGGCAGAAGTTTCTGGCATGGCTATTTGTGGGGCAGGGCTTTTAATTAAGGGGCAGGGCCCCCAAATGCCCCACTGTCGCTACGGGGCTGGCCACAGCTTTACCTTCGGTCACACAGCCAAAGCAACATTTAAAAAAAATCTGCACAAATAATCAAATCTTCAGTAGCCAATCAGAAGCCTTACTGGGGGAAAGCCCTGCCTGGCCCTACCCGCTTTCTAAAAACACTTGGGTGGCATGGCACTCACGGGCACCACACTGGGGACCCCTAATGTATAGGAAGCCACTGGGGACACACAGCAAAAACAGGATTCATATTCAGGAAACAGTCATGAATTGCAGACATTTGAGGATAGGTACAAGTAGCAACCAATCATGTAGCCCGAACTTATTGCAAGAGCTATGTGACAAACGTATGATACCATAAGGCAGTATTACCAGCTCAGTATGCACTGTATTCAAGATAAACTGCATTTACTCAATTGTGATATAGACTATCGCCATCAATCTCTTTCATTCTGGTGTGTGCTCAACAGGCTCTCCCCCCCCCCAAGTGTTGTATTAATGATCTTAGAAAATCTGAAATTATACGGATTCAGCCAGCAGAAAACAGATCTAAACATGGTTTAACTTGCTCTTAGAGCTACTGTCAAAGATTGTAGGTAGCAGTATTGTTTATTGGGTGTGGGGGAACAAGACACTATAGCCCCTTTTTAATAGGACCAGTCAAAATACTGGGCTGGATCCAACGATTCTCTAAGCAGGTCTTCCAGCAAAGAAGAGTGACTTCAGTTAGAGAAAGATTCTGTAGGATGAAGTCTTCAGACCTGAGCCAAAATGAAAGGTGTGGTATAATTATTTTAATAAATAAATGAACTTTGCTCAGTGAAATGGTAGGACTGTAATATCCATCTCAGTGAATGCAAGCTTTTGAGTTCCTCTGGACTTGAAATGCCAGAGATTTCAAGGTGAACATATCTGACAGCTGAACAACTTGATCTCTTAGCCTGTCACCCATCTTGTTCAGCTAACAAACAGTTTTGCAACTACACAGTAGCTAGGATGATGAAAGGTAATTTCCTTGCCTTAGAGGGGCTTCTGTGTCTGCAGTATAAGTGAGATTGATGGGTCACGGATGGTCAGGTCAAAGCATTACATAATGTGAGGGGGGTAACAAGGCAATGCAAAAATGTGTATGTGAGAATAACATCAATAGCACAGACACACATCAAAGAGTAAGCCTTTAAAAATTTAAATTTTATTCAGTGTTACAGCAGAATTTACTTCAAATTCAAACTGTTAGTAAAAACATGGGTGGGGGGACATTTTGGTACTTACAGAAGCAAACCGCTTTAAGACAGATCCGTTATTGAATAGCATTTTATTATCAATCTTTGTACACAACAAAAACAGAGGCCATTAAAAAAAAAATCATTCCTTCTATTTAAGCAATCTGCCTTTCAGTTTACAGCTTTGATAGCTTAAACAGATTCAGGCCGACGGAAAGACAAGAGGCTCCAGAAGCATAGCGGATTTCTTTCAGCATGCCACACCACTCTTTCTTCTCACTGTCATATCTGTGGAGGTAAAATTTAATAACACGTTAGATAGATCTGCAAGCACAGCAACTATTCCCCCCTTACTTTTACATCTTGCCTTAAAAAGAGCACTCTGATCATCTTGAGCGTTTCAAGGAGCTCAGAATTTCTGTTCTAGTATTCTGCTTTACATTAATAGTGAATAAGTGGTAAACTGATAAACTACAGAATACATGAGACTGCTGCCAAAAACTGCACAGTGGTGTTGAGTTCTTCCCCTCTGTGACATATTGTATAATTTTCAGATTATATGGCATTGTATGTTTTGTATATGGGTAGGAAAGTATAGTTTAGAAAATCATAACAGAGTGATAAATTGTTCATAACAACCTGGAGGTTTTCGCTAACTTCAAACATGCATCCTCATTTCCTTTGTTAACAGTATTCCTTTTGCAGTACCATTAAATCTTAGGCAACCAAAATGGCCTGAAACCTTCAAGGAAGCTGGCCTGCTTGTTAGTGAAGAGGTACAGTCTATACAACAGATTGTCAAATTGTTGATGCCAGGATATTGCAGTTAGTGACTCTCTGAAACATAGGATGTAAAAGTAATGTATACAAACGTTCACGGATTGAGCATGCTCCATGTCATGAACTAGAAGATGGTGGGTTGGAGCTGCAATTCCCAAGAACTTGGCTAGATCTCAAATTGCAGAACACCATCTGCCAGTCAAATATCTGACTGTGACAATAATAATACTCAAGCAGAACTTACTTCCAGATATCTGTAACCTCATTTGGTGCAAATTCCTTAGATTCCAGTTGAACCATAGCAAAACCACCAATAGCATACAAGGATCCAGCCAGATCAACTACACTGATAGAGCTTCTCTCCTGTGGGAACTCAGGCATAACTTCCCATCTGTAATTTAACAAGCATCATGTTCAGTTTAAAACTATGGCATTAGGGTTTTTTTCTGGGATGATGTACTAAAAAGTCATATCTAAAACTAACTCCAGGACACACTGGAAATTATGGTCTGATCTACATGTCTGTTGGCAATATCCTAGCCTAAAAGACTGTTACAGTTAGGTCACAGAAAATATGGACATTGCTAATCATGTTCAGAATTCCACCCAGTAACAATATTAATAGGGAAGATAATTTATTTTTATTTTTGCAAAACTTATTGTCAGCCACTAGGTTCCCTCGTCAGACTGTCAAAGACTGTACATGTTCAAGAGGAAGACTGGGGTGGTAAAATTTGGGCTGCATTAATGAATATATTTTCCCAGCAAAAAATAGTAAAGTATTTTAGACAAAACATCCATGCTATGTTCATTATAATGGAGGCCATTTACTACTTATAGAGGAAAATGGTCGGAAAATGTTTTCAATAAAAGTTAAAATACAGAGTTCCGTTGTTATAAAAAACATACAGACTGCTTACTAAACAGCTAACGAGTAGTACTTAGGTCAAAGCATCTTAGGCTTCTTCAACTATTATAGTTTTGAAAATGTAAAAAGTAATCACATTTTGCATGTATACAGTAGATTAAGGGGAAGTAATTTTATACTAGAATTCCTGTATACTGATGTCTTGTATATTCAGGATCCCCTAATACTTAAGATACAAATGATCCTGAGTATTTATTAATTAACATAAACAGTGTCATTCTGGATCAAACTAGGTTCAGCATCTTTACAAGAATCCCAACAATCCACTTCTGAGTTAGATAACTGAAAAACACACAAGTAACTAAAACTGAATAATTAAGAATAATTAAGGGACAACAAAAAGTATTAATGGTCCATCTTCCATTTCTACTGGGATAGTTAAAATACCAAAGTATGGAAAGAAACTCTTTTATTTAGTTTATAACAGGAGATAACTTTTGCTGCCATTCCAGACACAATTGCCCTCATACAGCAAAGGTAATGCATGTTCAGAAATAAGGTTCTGTGTTCATTTCCTGCTTGATCCATTATCGCATAGCACAGGATACATACAGAATGTTGTGCACATGTGTGAAAGACCTGCCCAAGTCTGTAGATCCTTGTCAGCGGGGAAAACTGCATGCCCTTCCACAGGCATCATACTGAGCGGGGCTTTCATTCGCTCATATTCTCCATCTGTCTCCTGACCCTACTCCCTTCAGCCTGAGGAGCAAATGCTGGCCTATCATCCTCTGCTGATATCCTGTGGCTTACAGAAGGGCCTTTGGTGGCCCCAACCCTCTGGAATTCCCATGAGATCTGAGCAATTCCTGCAGGAAAGCTGCGGCCACCCCTGCATCTCAGCTGTGACTCATCCCCTCATTTCCCCACCTGTGGCTCTAGGCTGCTTCCCAGGTGATTATCAGAAA